TGATCTAAATATATAATTGATGGAATTCATCTTGACTTGATTTTTCTTGTGCATGCATTTACAAGCATAGTCGAAAGTTAATTAATCTTCACGTGAGAAATTGTTGAAATGCACGTAGTTACAAATAATCATTTTTTTTTTTTTCTTTTTTGGTATAATATATATCCAGGTATTTGGCTCCTGAGTACGCATCAAGTGGCAAACTAACAGAAAAATCGGATGTTTTCTCATTTGGGGTAATGCTATTGGAACTTATAACCGGCCGCCGACCTGTGGATCCAACTAATAGGACTATGGAGGATAGCTTAGTTGATTGGGTGAGTCATGGACCCACCAATTCAGCATTAGTAACTCTGCATGAGCTACATAATTTCTTCTTCCTTTTATTTTCTTTATTATATTTATTACGTGATTGTTGAGTTTGGAACACTCCCTTTTTAATAATAGATTACTAGTTAATTAATAAGCGTTCTTTTCATTTTGATCAATATTCTTTCTACTGCATTAAACAGGCCAGGCCGCTTTTATCTAAAGCGATGGAAGATGGACTTTTTAACGACTTGGCCGACCCACGGCTTGAAGGTGACTACATTGTCCACGAGATGGCTCGTATTGTTGCTTGTGCTGCTGCCAGTATACGTCATTCAGCAAGACAACGCCCTAAGATGAGTCAGGTAAAATTAATAAATAAATATAAAGATGATAGTATGGAACTGCACTATGTAGTACATACGCCTTGGTATGTTGTAAATGTCATCACATACCAAATAAGTATGTGATGGGTAAATATGTATAAAGTTAGAATGAGGAAGAATTGTAATGTGGGCGTCAACTCTGCGACATACAAATGGCATTTTGACCTAGGCACCCAAATTGTAATAGTAAATGGCATTTTGACAATCTATTATTTTCGAGAAACAACTCTCCTTCTAAAAAAGAGAGATATACTATATATAGATTATAGACAGTGTGTGATCAAAGCAAAGAAACAACTTTCTAGTTTGCCTACCTAGCTAGCCTCTCACAAGTATCCCTCCCATCCTGAAAATGCAAATTCAAAACATAGAAACAACTCATATATACATATATATCCTTGTGAGTAGATTGCACATGCGTTGGAAGGAGAGTCATCATTGAACGAAGGGATAAAGCCGACACATATGAATGGGTTTGAAGGTGGTTACGACACGATGGCCTACAATGCTGACATGATGAAGTTCAGGAAGATGGTAATATCGAGCCAAGAATTCAACAACAGCGAGTACGGGAACACAAGCGAATATCCATCCTCATCCAGCGGCCCGAATAATTCCAGAGAGATATCTGCTCAAACCAACTGTTGAAACCTAAATCACATACACATCTGCCTCCTGCCTTATGTGGAATGCTTATGCTTAGCATGGATTTTGGAATGAGACTAAAGATTTAAACTGCTAACTTGTTTATCTATTTAATTTTTATATTTTCTCCACATGGACCACCTGTAATATTATTTATTTATTTTGCTTCTCATAGCATAATCATATTAATTTCAAATTTATATGTTTTACATTTTTCATTTACATACTCAATAAATAATTATTTAACTTGCTAAATTTTTTACATGTCAAATATGTTGAGTTTCATGTTAATGGTGAAACATATATAACGTTTAACTTTATCCTTTCATGTCACATTCTTTCTGTACGGCCATAATTTCATTTCAGTTCACTGTATGGTCCTTTTTCGGTCATAATGATAAAATAAGGTACACTTATTACTAACTACTAGTATGAGTTCCCTAATAAGAGATTAAATGTATGGAATCAATATGTAATACAATTTACTCATATTAATTTATTGAAAATGTTATATAAACTTTAAATTGTCAAAATTACATAATGCCTATTTTAAATTAGTACACCCCGTGCGGTGCACATAACTGATAGTAAATCACATTATATTTATTTCAAAATATGTGTCATTTCAAAAAAAAAAATCAGAAATTTGATTTGACTATAATGTGATTCCAAACTCTCATACTGGAGGGATGTTTTGATGAAGAGTCTCCAACGCTCAAGTCAATCTTGAGAATAATTCTATGTGATAATGGTGTATTAGAGAAATCGTGTCGAAAATGATATGCCTCACCCCTATATATAGGGGTGAGATACATATTCTAGAAGCTGTCCGGGTTAGCTGAGCTGGCTGCTCCAAAGCTGCTCGGCCTGCCCGATTGTACAACCCTTAGGTGTGTCAGAAATGGTTATTAGTATGGGCCAATCAGATCATGCCACCTGCCTACGCATGTGTGTTAAAGACTCCTTCGAAGGCTCTTGGCTTCGACTAGATTTGGGCAAGCCGCTGATGCTGCCCTTGGTATGTGAACTGGTCGAACAATCAGGGTTTCCTTTGCTGACCAACTAGTCTTCGACTGGATTCTCCAACTAGTTGGGGCCAGCCTCTTCTTTTAAGCTTCTAGTGGCTATGAATTCGACTGTAATCAACCCGCTTAGACTCTGTTCGACCTGATCTATCTCATTGATTTATTCGACCGGTTGTCTGGACCGATCATAGGTATGATATCCTATATCACCCGTGATAAACCAAAGAGGCCATGTCCAGCTGCCCAACGGACTCGACAGTTTAAACGATTTCCTATAGAAGAAATCTACAACGTCTCAGTGTTGACAAAATTTTAAACGGTAAGTCTTAATCCTAACTACAGATTCCGCTATGTTAGGATTTAATCTGTTAGATTCGGATGTGTATATTGATGGCGTTCCTCAAAGAACACAACAGACAACACATCATGCAGCCGACATTACTTACCAAACTTGTGTATGTCGACCTACCAGATAAGTCTCGCCCATGAAAAATCAAATAAGTAAGTGTTAACTACACATGTTCTTACATTGTCTTTCGGGTTAAGAATACGCAGCAAACACTGAGGTCAAGATTATTCACTTGGTCAGTATAAAATAATTTGATCCTCATGTGGGTCTGTTCAATACATCTAGAATGTACTAGTGTAATCCATTATTCTAAGATCAACTAACTCCAAGATTCACACTACAGTATTTCACGACAGAGATTTAAGTTCTCATCTAGACTATGAACCATTACTTATATTTTACGAGGAACCGGTAATATGATCTTATTGTTTTAGACCTGGAACCATATTATCTACAATGTAAAATAAAGGAACAACGTTTGCATAAATAAATTAATTACGAACATCCACACGACTAAAAACATGCATCTCATTCAAAAGGTTATCGTTGAGTAACATAAAAGTCGAGCTCTTACAGTATACTCCAACATTAGGCCTAATACTTAAGAAGCCCACATCATCACCTCCTGAGAGTCCCTGCTATAGCTCTATAAATACACCATTAATCTGTTGGGGTTGGACACTTATACACGCGATAGGTCAGCCCTAATTCCCGAGCGAGCTTTATCTCTGAGATTTGTTGCTCCATCGAGACAATTGGAGAGGTTTCGGGTCATATAGTGGAAGTTCCCGAGGTAGACGAGTCTCCCAGCGACCTCGTGCGCGGCTTGCTTTCTCGACGACCTCCACGCACGCATTCCCATCCACGTACGATCAAGGCTTTTCGATGATTGTCCGCGAGCCACCGAGTGCTACCAGCCCGCAGTAGCGATTAATCAAGATGTATTCCTAGTGACCACCTCACATGGCCCGTACGCAGCAGTGACCCGCGAAGCTCTCGCACGCTTTCCCTGGACACTGCAACCTGCACGCAACGACCCATCCCGTACGCGAGACCAGTTGCACCCCCTGACGTTCCAGGCAATCCCACATCTTCCAACGAGGCAATTTTCGGCGATTGAAAAATAAGACGATCTCCATCAATGGAAATCTACAACGTCTCATAGTCTGCAAATTTTAAGCCGTAAGTGTTCAACCTTAAACCTTCAAATCCATTACGTATAGGTTTATTACTGATTATTCAATTCGTAACTTGTACAGAACGAGATCTTCATTGGTCCATACATATTTATAGGCTTCAATAGGGACCCTAAAGAGGTATTAAATTGGGTTTCCCATATTTGGGCCTAACTTTGTGCTAAGCCTACTTAGCCCAAATATGAATAGTATAACAATTCCACTAAAGTAGTTCTATTAAATTCTGTCAATTTAATTCCCAAGTTACGATTTGAGCTCCAATTCTAAATTACTCGAATTACCTCAACATGTTTAAGATATAATATCCGACAATTTATTTAATTATTGTAAATTAAATTAATCGACTTCTTGAACTGAAAATAGCATTGTTAATGTATTGTTGGTATTATTATTATTATTATTATTATTATTATTATTATTATTATTATTATTATTATTATTATTATTATTATTATTATTATTATTATTATGTCAGAATTTAATCCACCTTCTGGGTTTAACATAATAATCCTTCTGAACTCACTTTAGGGACATCATCGAACCTTAACTTTGTGAAGTACACGGTGACCGTAGATATTATAACAAAACACCATGTCATGTAGGAATCACTACCCAAAACAGACAGGTGATTGGTCCATGATAATAAACCTCACTTTGTTGATTCAAAGCAGTAACTACAACATGCATTTGTTTGTTTATATCTTACAAGTTAAGAGACGTAGTAATGACATGAGGCCTGGTTCTTTTACGCCGATCAGTATAAAATAAACTGCTCATCACTGGGATTCGGTCAATATACCAATGTGTACTAGTGTGCCTAATTAGTCAAGACCAATTGTACCTTCCACACTACAACTATTTTGATGGCTTATTCAATTTCCATCTAGGTTGTGAAGGAATTATTTATGTTTTGCAAGTAACGGATAAATGGTCTTATGTTCATCCGTGATAAACTATTTATTTACGTGCAAAGCTACAGAACATAGAACACTATTTAATCAACATGAATTAATATTTAACATAAATACTGTGAATAACACCTAAAGCCAAGCTTGCATTATAGGCACTAACATAAAGTGAATCTAGAATGTCGAACGCAGTTGATCACACTTTGAATAGACTTTGGGGGTAGAAAGTTATGCCAACGTTGTGCTTTGGGCCCAAATGTAAGGAAAAATGTTTGGCAACGAAGAGCATCAATGGAGCCATGAATATCCATCAAAGACATGTACTGTCCCACATGAACATCGAGGTCAATGTCACCATAGTAGACACCCATTTGGTGAACCTTTATCTTGATATGAAGGATCGTCATTGGTATATGTGAAGAAAGTGGTGAAATAACTTCAAGAGATGAAACGGGTTAGTGGTGACCTGATTGGCTGTTTCTAGCATCTTTCAAGCTTCGAGTTCGGTGATCCTTTTCTTGAGTGATGCGATCTCCTTATTTTCTTTCTAAATGATTCTCTTGGTAACCTGTTGATAGAGATCTTCATGTTTATTGCTCAATCGATTAAATATCAGTCGGAGGTTTAAACTCATGTGAGCATAGCTATCGCCCATTCTTTCGCGATATTTGGAATTGTTAGGATGCTCGTAATGTTGTTATTCATTTCCCTTCTCAAGGGCCTCAGCTTTCTCCAGTGATTAGTGTTAGAGGTATTCTGTAAAAGCTATGTTTTGCAGATTCTATCAATTCCATTTTGATCTGGCCATCATGTTTCGGTCAAAGTACATATGTTTGCAGTTTATTTATTTATGCAA